TACATACATACATACATACATACATACACACACACACATACATACTGTTAATACCTTATGTGTCTTCAACTTTCCTGTCCCATTCTAAGTATTTTTGATGATTCTCTTATATTTTCTAGAGTTTTATAATATCTGACAACTGTATTTGGCTCATCCATTTTTTAACGCTTTTGTACCATAGAACCTTGATTAACGAGCACCACACCATTAAGGGAAGACCTTTTCAGTCTCTTTGTTTTTTCTACTATTTGTAACGAACATAAATCTGTCAATAACAGGCACCTCGATATTCCAGATTAAGGGTTGTGTCTTTAGTCTCATTCTCTATATGAGCACTCGATAAAGCGGGCAGTTATCTTTGTATGCCTGTACAGTATACTGCTAAATTCTAAACATCCCAGAAGGATGACCAATATTTAAACACTTGCTCTGAACCATATAGTGTAATAAATGTTTTCTTATTACTCTGAGAAATTCTCATTGTAAACATTTTAGTATACATAAGCTGATAGATTCCATATCATGTTCTCAGAGCTGGGGTCAAGTCGGCTTATTTCTGTGTGAGTGCTTTGTTGCTCTCGAGAGTATCATATTACGATGTCACGTAAACAGTCTAATGACACAAGCAGATTTCTACTTCACTTGTTGACAGTAAAATAAACACAGAAAATAAATGTAAAATGTTTAGCAGTTCAAACTCTGAAGAGAAGTACTTTGTAACTTTGTGAACATTAATAAAGAAAAGAGGACACAGCTAATTCATCCGCTGATGCCACCTGTTGACAACGCTCCATGTCATGGCAACATGCAACTCACGAACACCTGTGTCCTACATACACCAAACAAAGTATGGGCCTTAGAATTCAGGAATTTAGTACAGTCAATATGGAATCCAGCTTTGCTTGGCTCATTTTTTATGTTAAGGGCATCTTAGTATAGAGGGCATTTGGACACAGTCAGAAGGGTGCATTTAATGTCGAGGTTCTACTATATGTTATTACTACATTTCTTTATTACATGTTAGATATTGTTATAGCAGCTTCTGGTATTTACTTCGATTTTGTAACTACTTTCAGCACTCACTTTCCATGTTACAACTCTTTGTTTTAATTTGTTATTATACACTACAGTTGGTACACACTTTTCACGGTAAAACTACTTTTATTATAGCTTGTGTTACAGTACAGTTGGTACACACATTTCATGTTATAACCCATGTTATAATACAGTTGGTACACACTGTTCATGGTAAAACTACTTTTATTATAGCTTATGTTACAGTACAGTTGGTACACACATTTCATGTTATAACCCATGTTATAATACAGTTGGTACACACTGTTCATGGTACAAATACTTTTATTATAGCTTATGTTACAGTACAGTTGGTACACACATTTCATGTTATAACCCATGTTATAATAAAGTTGGTACACACATTTCATGTTATAACCCATGTTATAATACAGTTGGTACACACTGTTCATGGTACAAATACTTTTATTACTACTTAATTTTTGATGTTTTTGGTGTACAAAATCCATGGTATAGCTTTTTTATGAATGCTACTTGATGTTACAACTGCTTGTGGTATAGTACTATCTTTCACTTTTATTATACTTTTTATATATAACACACATGTAGCACCTATTATTGAACATGTAATTCTGTTTAACCATTTTGTTTTGACTGATTTTTACCATATTTCTCGGATATTTAGGGCAATTCTGGGCCTAGTGGTTAGCATGCAAGACTGAATGGTTTGCATTCTGTTGCTACAAAAAATAAACAAATTTTGCTTTGCATTTGGGGTCATGGTTGTGTTATAAAGGTGATGGTTAACTCCCACTATTCAATTATAATAGCCCAACAGTGGGTGCTATTGACCAGCTGCTGTCCCTTTAGTCTGTTAAAAATTAGGAATAGCTAGTACTGATAGTCCTTGTGTTGTTTAGCAGAAATATCTGAAACAAACAATCTAAAAGTCACAGTTAATTACATTACACATTGTCTCGTGTTATTTCAATCTGATTTTGGTATCACCCATATTTTGGGACATACAACCCATGTTATGGGAAGTTTTGCTAAATACAACTTATTTTACAGTTATTTGTGGATTATTGAAGCTCTGTCCTCCAACTTGGTGCATTATTTCTGTTGTTAGAAATACTTTTATTACATTATATTCATATTTCTCTTGCTTTTGTTACATTTTATCTGTATCCTAATATTCTTATGCGCCACTCACGTTAAAGCCACATTTAATAGGCACTTACTTGTCCTTGTTACATTTTGACTCACACACTGGGTTACAGTGTTCACCACTTGCTATTACAGCTACTGTTGTGAGACATTCCACCATGTTGCTTCTATTTTTGGTACTCATGGCACTATGTTATAGTTATTTTTGATACACATGCTACTGTTACAGCTATTTTTTGGTACACATGCTACTGTTACAGCTATTT